GAGGGGGGGGAAGGGGGGAGGAAAGGGGACATCTGTAATACTTTCAATAATAAAAAGAAATTAAAACATAAAGAAAGTATAAGGTCAAACAGGAATAAAATACTCAAACAAAACCAGAAGCTATATGATTTTGAGTTTTATTTTCTGAGGGTAGAAACTACAAAACTGAACCAAGGAGAAAAAAAACTGTAAAATTCTGAGAATGTGATTCAATATTTAATCCTTTTAAAGTCATTAATTCTGACAACTAATTTTAAATATAAGTGCTTTAATTTTATATTCAGAAAACTAATTACAACAATAGACTATTCATTTTTTAGGGTTTTCATGTGTGTCAGAGGGTGTAAGTCTCCCTACTACAATTTTCTTCGACAGTTTAACAGAAGCTTTTATCTTTTAATCCTCACCCAAGGATACGCTCACGGATTTTATAGAGAGGGGGAGGGAGGGGGGAGGGAGGGAGAGAGAGAGAGAGAGAGAGAAACATGGTGAGAGAGAACATTGATTGGCTTGACTTCCGTACGTGCCCCAACCTGGGATGGTACCCACACCTAAGCATGGGCCCTGACTGGTAATCAGACCCACACCTTCTAGGTGCACAGGATGATGCGCCAACAACTAAGCCGACCCAGCCGGAGCAACAGAAACTACTTTTGTTAGATCACCATTAAATTGTAGTGGTCTTTCCCAAATATAGTAAGCTTGTATCTCTGTGGTGAATGTAAAAGACACTGATTTCAGGGAAATGAGCATCCAGTCACGCATTTCATACCATTTGGCAACTAGAAAATGTTAAAGTGCTTGAAAGATAAGACTCTACAACAGTGATTTTCAATCTGTGTGGCTCAGCACACTGGCATGACACAAGAATTTTTAAAACATGGAATACCTGACTATTTAGTGATGGGCACTGACCTCTTTTCCCTTAGACTGTCACATAAAAACATGACAACAGCCAATACAACAGTAGCTGTCTGGCGTGAGTGAATCAAAATTATACCTTTTTGGTTTTTTGTCAGATTGGCAAAAAATACATTTTTTGGTGTGCCACAGAATTTTAGTAATTCATTTATGTGTGCCATGAGATGAAAAGGGTTGAAAAACACTGCTCTACAATGATGTTCAGGGAGAGAATTTATAACCTATACAGGTACCAATCAAGACATTTAGAAGTTAAAGTAAG